ACTTTATTGCCACTTTACTTTGAGGGTTCAGTTGAACTCTTAATGAGATTCTTACTGTGGATTTAGGAAACTAGCCATCAGTCGTAGTGCTTAAAAGTAGTATGTTAAAAATACTACATTCAGCAATATTGTGGAAATAGGGAATGCATTGACATTTAGAGTTCTGTTTAAGCTCATATATACACTGCTGCACTTCTAAAGATGTGACTGAGGGTCAATTTACCAACCACTTAAATCTCTTAATTTTAGGAAACCTCATTAAGTCAGTGTGGAAGTAGAGTTATGCATTTTCATTACACTTAAGAGTACTTTTGTTTGAAAGAAAGGACATGTTACTTCATTAATGGATTCAAATGAATTTGGGTTTAGGCTGTATCAAGTTTAGTTTCTGTTGCATATAATAGAAAATTCCAACACAATGGTAGTGGCAGTGTTTCTCATTTCAAGTTTGGGGCATACCAAATTGCTTCATATTATTCAAAGATACTGTAAAAAGAAAAAGGGAGATCATTTCAACATATTTGAATTGTAACAGTCTCTTACACTTTTAGAAATTCTCATGAAATAAAATAATACTATATTACTGTTACTCAAAAAATATTTTTTAGAGGCATAAGTATTTGTTACAACTTATTTTAAGTATTATTCAGACTCATTACATTTTATATTAGTCTGTCTAGGTCAGTAATGATAGCTAGTTAGGCAACTTTTACATTCTAGGTTAAGCAGTGAATTAATTTACATATTCTTTTGTGTCCTAGAATATATTAGCGCAACATTGTGAAAGGTATCACAAAGCATCTGCCAGGGAATAACTATCCCACGCTAATCACTGGTTTCAGTTTTCCATTATTATAGATAACATTTGCTATGCTTGAGTGTCAGATATTGTTTATTTTTGGTAATATGGTTGGCTATTTAGACTGATTTTCCTGCTGAATACAACTGAGAGTACTCAATACAGTATTTTAAAAGTATGAAAGAACAACATAGAAATTACCAAGTCAAAATCCAAGTGAATCAGTTTCTTTGCCCACCTCCCTACTCCTTTTTTACTTTATGCCACTGGCTTGTTGCCAAAACTCAGTCAATTATTTCCTAAAATGTCTCTCATCTTGGAGTTTTCTCTTTGCCTCTTTGGGAAGATTTAATTCATTCTTCTGTCCCCCATATTTTCTCTAAGTGGTTCCTAATATCATTGATACAATTACTTATTTGCATCATCTCACAGTAATTTCAAAATAATACCAGCATTGACTGCTACAATTAGATTATAGACTACCGAATATAGTTTAAAATTTCTTCATAGCTCTGCTTGTTTTATTTTCCTAAAAGTGTATGGTAAATTCTGTGTTCTAATGCAATGTGAAATAATTCTTTTCTCTATATTTTTATATCACCAACTTGATATAAACTTTGTTTTAGTTTTCAGCTTTTCAGGATCACAAGTCAAAATTATATAACAAGGTATATTCAGATAAATCTTGCTTCTCTGTCTTTTCCATCCTGTTTCCTTCCTTCTCCTATTAATGACTTTTTATTAGCTTTTCATTATATCATTAACCTTTCTTTTTGAAAACCTAAAAAAATGTATTTAAGCATATGTATGGTATGTTCTTATCCCCCCTTCTAATATAAAAGGTGATATATATACATACTGTTAGATATCTTGTTCTTTTTTTCTTACTGTATCTTATCACTCCATATCAGTATATAGGTATCTGATTCATTTTTTGATCCATAGTACTCCATTTGGGAATGTACCATGGCTTATTCAACCAGTCCCCTATTGGTGTACATCTAGGTTTTTTTCAGACTTTTGCTATTACAAATAATGCCACAGTGAATACCATTGTACCTAAGTAATTTTATATGTTTGCCAGTAAATCTTTGAAAACGATTCCTACAAGTAGGATTGCTGGGTAAAAGGGTAAATGCATTTGGAATTTTTCCAGACATTACTAAATTTCTCTCCATTGATTATACCATTTTGCAGTCCCACCAACAGTGTAGCAGAGTGTCCAGTTCTATACAGTCTCACTGTATCCTTTGTTGTTGAACTTTGGGATTTATTGTCCATCTGATAGTCAAGTGTCTCCGTCTAATTTTAAATGCATCTCTGTAATTATGAGGGAGAGTGTATGTCTTTACATATGTTTAAAGACCATTTAAATGTTTTCTCCTGTAACTACCTTTTTTATGTTTTGCACTATTAAAAGTTGTGTTTTGGGTCTTCCCCTTCCTGCCCCATATTACGAGCGTTTTAAATTTTAGAGGTATTAGCACTTTGTCTTGATTTAAGTTTTAATTTTTTTTCCAGTTTGCCGTTTATCTTTTGGCTTTATTATGGTGAGGTGTGTGTGTCTGTTATGCTCACGTGCATGTGTATGACATTTAAAAGTTTCGTATAAGTTCTCTTTTTACTGCCTCTGGATTTTGAGTCTCAGCTAGGAAGGTTTTTTCCCACTTCCAGATTATAAAGGAATTCACTCATATTTTCTTCTGTTACTTGGATAATTTCATGATTTATATTTAGAACTCTGATCCTTGGTGTTTATTCTAATATAGTGTGAAGTATGGATCAAATTTTCTTTTTTTTCCAGGTGTCTATCCAATGCTTGTTTCCACTGATTTGATATTTATTTCTGGACTTTTTCTTCTGTTCCATTGATCTGTTTGTTTAGTCATATACCAGTACCACAATGTTTTAGTTATAGGTTCCCAAAGGTGCTACTTTACTTTTTGATCAGAATTAGGTAAGAACAACAGTTAAAGATCAGCCGCATTGGATTCATTTGTGTCCCTCACCATTCACACCAAATAGAAGACTTATGTGATATATGTATGTTTCAGTACATGATGTAGGTGCTCTTTGGTCCTATATTAGTGAAAAGAGTGTTGAACCAGTAGTCAGGGAGCAAACTCAGCTTTTAGTACCGCTTCTAAGCATGTCACTTACTTTCTCTGGTCCTGTTTTCTCAGTAGTTAACAAACAAAAGGAGTTGAACCAAATGCTCTTCAGTGTTGTGTCTGACTCTGGTTAATGCTGTTCTGGTTAAGAGCCCCACTAGTATGTGGTGTGAACTTTAATCTACCTTTTATTCCCCTGCGCCTTGTTCTTTTGCAGTATTCATGAAATAAACTTTCTCTTCTGGATCTTAATTCTTTAATCTTTTCTCTAAAAGATTTTTCTTTGTTCCAGCATTTTCTTCTGTCCTATATTTATTAGTTTATATCTCTTCCTGCTGATTAGTAAGGATTGCCACTGTTTGGCTGCTCAGCTTCCACTGACCTCATTGGGGAAAATTACATGCGGTTAAATGTGAATTATTCTTCCCCCAGCAAAGAATTTCTTTTAAAAAAAGGAAAAAAGACAACATAAAAACCCAGCTGCTGCCAGTAGTCTGTCCTGTTATACAAAGAACAGAAAGAGAAAAGCTCCCTTTAAAGTACTTAAAGATACCAGACAAGACTATGGTCAACTAATCAGTTCCTGTTTAATCTAAGAAAATTGGTATTTCCCTATTTTTCCCGATATTTCTTTCAGGAAAGAAGGTGGTAAAAAGGGACAAAAATGTGGAAAGAGCCCATTAAGTAACTATCATAAATGTAAAATGAGAAGAGTTATGATGTTTTAAGTATGTCAAAGACTTGGCCAAGTATAAAAACATATCTTATTTACCATAACAAAAATTCTTAAAATTCAAAAGAATAATAGGAAATTATCAACTCCAGATTGCTGCTGAGGAAATTACCTTTAAAAGTACTAAGTTTGGGCCAGGCACGGTGGCTCACACCTGTAATCCCAGCACTTTGAGGGCCTGAGGCAGGTGGATCACGAGGTCAAGAGTTTAAGACCAGCCTGGCCAATATGGTGAAACCCCGTCTCTACTAAAAAAAAAAAAAAAAAAAAAAAAAAAAAAATTAGCCAGGCATGGTGGTGCACATCTGTAGTCCCAGCTACTCAGGAGGCTGAGGCAGGAGAATCACTTTAACCCAGAAGGCGAACGTTGCAGTGAGCCAAGATCATGCCACTGCACTCCAGCCTGGGTGACAGAGTGAGACTCTGTCTCAAAAAAAAGTACTAACTTTGAAGAATACATGAAAGAAACTTTTTAATGAGGAAGACAAAAGATGTAATATAATATGACAATAAGTATTACGCTTATTCAGGAAAAGAAGCTCAAGGAAGTGTTTCTACAGATTAAAATATTAATGGTTAGTAAAGATGGCTTGAAAGATTTTAGGAAAAACATTGTACGTAAAATTCATGTGTCCAAAACCCTACTGGTTCTTATTAAATATGGAGCTTTGTTAATGTCATGAATGCCAGTGCTATGAATAAATGCTATGTTCTATTCTGAAAATCCCAGAACTCTGAGTGATTCTCCAAGACTGGGCTACCATTTTATTCTAAGTGCTTGTTTCCCACTGGAGTTAAATGGGACTAATGAGGAAGAGTATGTGCTTGTTGGGCAAAGGAGCGCTTCTGCAGACACAGGCTGGCATCCCCAAAATCTCAGGCTACTGACCACTCTTGACTTTGACAAAGATTGGGCCCATTCCTACTCTAATAACTCAGACTTACCAATTGTCAGATAATGGATAAAGATGAAATTCTGTATAAGAAAGGTGATTTAAGAGTGGATAGCATCAGAAAGTATAAGTTTAGTAAAAAGTTGAGAATCATCTGTGTTTTGATAGTCTTTTTTCCTGAAAAAAAAAATCACCCAAAATCACCCGTATTTAGAATGAAACCATAGTCTTCTTTTTCTTTTTTTTCTTTATAAAATTTGATTTTGTTTGGGTGTTTATAAAGAAGAAACGTTTTAAAGATGCTAGTTTTAAAATTTGTGCCTCCCCACGACATGATAGGAAAATATTTACATTTCATGATATATCCTTATTTTTTTCAGGGTAAATGTCTTTAACCCAACCTTTCAGTTGGTGTTTTAACATGTTTGCTTTACTCTTCGTGATGAAACCAAGAAGAAAGTTTCTCTATTCTCAAACATGCATTTTAATCTCCCATTCCCACAAACTTGGAATATTTATTTAATACTTGAGGTATTAATTTAAAACTTGGAGTGTATACTTAGTCTCTTATTCCTTTCCACCCCAGTCTTTGAAATGGAAACATAAAAGTTTATTCACAATAAGTTTATACACAGCTTTTCAGGGAGAAAAAAAAACTGTACTAGGGTAATAATAAGTATATGTAGATTGTTTCAGAGTGATTAAATTATTGAAACATACACCATTTACATATGTAAAATGTACTATACTTTAAAGATAGGAACTATAATTAGTAAATAGATTACTGTTAAATAACTTTTTAAAAAAATGTTTCATCTATGCACATGGGCTCTGAGTAGATTTCAGATAGTTCCTGAATAAAAATCAAAATTGACTATCAGTTGCCATTTTGTATATGTTAACATATAAAGAAAAACAAAAGAGTCATTTGAGGATGGAAGATCAGCTAAAAAGCAAGTTGTAATATTTATAACAGTTCTGCAGGTGGAGGTGGCAGAGATTCATTAAGATCTTGATCAGAGTTGGGAGGAATAGAGAACTCCTGATACTGGATCTCAAGGTTGGAATCTTCTTGATTTTTCATAAAATCTACCGGTGGCATGGGCAAGTTAAGTGAGTCAGGCGGGGGTGGAAATGATTGTATTATCTCAGATTTATGATCTCCACAGTCTTGATTGAGACAGTCCAGAGATGGAGGGAAACTAGTAGAATCATTTGGAAGAGGAGATACAATTGTCATTATGGGTTTGTCAGATTGGTTACTTTCCTGTCTTTCCAAATCCAGAAGGGGAGGTGGTGGAGGCAGATCTGCATCATCTGAAGAAGAAATAGCAGTTCCAATTGTTGATCCATCAGCACTATCTTCTGATGTACCATTTACTTGATCTTTTGTTTTCTCTGTTTTGGGGTTGTTGGAGTCTTCAGTGTTTTCACTTGATTCAGACAACTTAATTTCTAAGTCATCTGCTAGAAGTGTGCTTTTGCTTGGTTTCCAGGGTGTAAGTGAAATGACTGAGGTATGTTTTGTGGATGTTTCATTTTCTCTGATGTTATCGATACAAATGTCAGGGGTTTCTCCATCAGCAAATGGAGATCTACCTGCCCAATTTGGATCATTTAAAACTGGTTTCCTTAAGCATTTCCAAAGTACAATGATGATTATAGCTACCAACATGGAAGTCAGAAGTACACCAATTAGTATGGCAGCTGTTGAATTATAATTGTTTTTTTGTGGAGTTTGTTTGTTACTGGTAACATCTAAGATAAATCCTGGTGTACTCCTAGGTGAATTTTTGACAGTTGATATTGGTTGTGTGGATGGATTATGAACCGTTGGTGGTATTAGTTTTGTAGAAGGGATCTGGACAGTTGATGATTGTTGAGTGAAAGTGTAGACAAATGGCGTTGGTGGTTGTGTGGTAGAAGTATGGGCAGATGGTAGTTGTCTGGCAGAGGTGAACACAGCTTGCTGGGAGGAGGTGTTGGCCATTGGTGTTGGTTGTTTGGTGTTGTAGGCAAGTGGTTGTCCAGCAGAAGTATGTGCTGCTGGTTTTTCAGAAGAGATATAGACAGCTGGTGTTGGTTGTCCAGCAGTGACTTTGGCAGGTGTTACTGATTGTCTAGAAGAAATGTCGTTGAATTGCATTGGTTGACCCAAAGGATTCCCTGTTGTGTTTTGAGAATTAGCCAATACATGTGACATTAATGATGTGACTAAGGTGGGCCGTGGCTGCTTCTCTGTTGTAATCGTCTCTGTCTTTGAAAAAAATGTATTGTTCAGGTGTCCACAAAACAAAATTAAGATGAAATATTTGGGATCCATTTCAGAATATTTCCTCCTTACCTATAGTGGGTTTAAAATGAAAGAGAAAGACAGGCATCATTGGTGTCTAGTTAAAAATTTGACTTTTCATTATAATGCCTGGCATAAAGTAGGTAGACATTATTCCTAATTAGTAGTAGTTGATTAGTAGTTATTATTCCTAATTTAGACTTGATACACTGTAGGCTTGGTGTAACAACTCTTGGGTGTACTCTAACCCATCATACAGCATTTGGACCTCATAAGCAGTGGTCTCTCTTCTTTTATTAATACAAGTTCTGCACTTGGCTCTGCTGCCCCTCTAGCTTCATTATATTTCAGTACTTCACTTCAGTCATACTTCTCAAAATGCATAGGCTCTATATGCTGGATCCATGTGCTCTCTACCTTTTTTCACCATTTACTACTAGAAATATATTGATTCTCCTGCCTTGAAGAACACTAGTGACCATCTATTACCTAATCCAATTTTTTTTTATTTCTTCTCTCCCCTCCCCTCCTTGACCACATTAGTCACTACTGTTCCTTCACTAATATTCAAGTAGCTTTTTGTAATCAGTCTTCCTTTCATGTTACTCTCACTAGCTCTTTTTCTTCTGCCTTCTAAATATGGTTAATTGATATTCAGTCCTCACCCTTACCTACTTCTCTTTTTTCCTGATTCTGTAAGATTTTAGTTCTCAGCTTTATGCCACAATTCCCAAATCTCTACCTCCAGTCTACATCTTCTTTGTCCTAATTCTATTTGTATGACTTCTTGGTGGATGTTTTTATGTATATATACACATATATATACACACACACGTATGTATATATGTATATATGTGTGTATATATATATAAACACATATATATATCTCCATCCCACTATCAGGAAATTTAACATATTTAAAATGGAATTCATCTTTACCCTCACAACGGACTCTTCTTCCGACTTCTCTATATCTGTTAATGGTACCACTCAGTTTCTTAGGCACAGACACAGAGTCTATTAGTAATCTTTGCAGCATCCTCAGTGTCTCTGTAGCATGGTAGCCTGATGTTAAGATTGCATATTTTTAAAGGATTCAATTCAACTCAGAGTCCCACGCTTAAAATCCTAGAGTGATCTCTGAATCTGGTGGAATAAATTCAATCCAGTTGGTCAAGTAGTCCTGCTGCTGCTTTCATTCATTTATTGGTAAATGCCACATTTGTGTGGAGCCCTGTTCTAGGTTTAGGAGATTTTAAAAAATTAAAAAAAAAAAAAAAGATAGTTACTGCCTTCAGGTGTTTCAGATTCTAGTGGTAGAAGCAAACAGTAAAAGCCAGGCGTGGTGGCTCATGCCTGTAATCCCAGCACTTTGGGAAGCCAAGGTGGGGGGATTGATTGAGGCCAGGAGTTCAAGAACAGCCTGGACCACATAGTGGGATCCCATCTCTAAATAAAAAGAAGAAAGAAAAAAAACCTAAAAAATAATTACAATAATTTTTTCTTTCTTTCTTTCTTTCTTTTTGTAGACAGTCTTAACTCTGTCGTCACCCAGGCTGGAGTGTAGTGGTGTGATCTGGGCTCACTGCAAACTCCGCCTCCTGGGTTCAAGTGATTCTTCTCCCTCAGCCTCCAAGTAGCTGGGACGCATCACCACGCCCGGCTTATTTTTGTATATTTAGCACAGACGGGGTTTCACCATGTTGGCCAGGCTGGTCGAGAACTGATCTCAGGTGATCCGCCCCCCTCGACCTCCCAACGTGCTGGGATTACAGGTGTGAGCCACCACGCCTGGCCCAATTACAATAATTTGATAAGCTTTCTCATAAAGGTATGCAGGAGAAGTACCGAGAAGTTAACCTAGCCTGGGAAGGCTTCAGTGAAGTAAAACTGGAACTGAATTTTAAAAGGTCTGTAAGAACTAATTAAACAAATTTCCAGCCAGGGAGAGCAACAATGTGGGCACAGGAAAATAAGGCACATATGAAAGTTTGGCAGGTAGGGCTTTTTCTGGGAAGTGGTAGATGCTAAAACTTGGAGAGTTAAGTTTCAGTTCTACTTCTCCCATCTAACTACCTATCTAACCATGAGAACTAGTTGCTTAACCTTTCCTGTTCTCAATTGCCTTTTCTCTAAAGTGAGGAGTTCTACTGAGACAATTTGCAACTTTTAGTATAATATACTTGTTTTGCACATCATCAAGCACAATGGCAACCATTTGGTTATCTCTTAACATTAGGGAATAGAAAATCTTAGGGTGTTAGATATTGGTATACATGATTAGAAACTATAGTTCTTCTCACTCATAAGCCTGTATTTAGAGAGATTTGGTGTTCTGTTGGAAGGTGCAATAAAGGTTTTACAGATTACCTTTTCAGCGTATCTAAATAGTTTTCATTGCTTACTCCTCTACCACTTGGTACACAGTGAAGATAAATGACCCTGTTTTAGTAGAAGAAAAGGTATGTGATTTTTTTCCCCTATATTCAAGTCTAAATTTTAAAACAGTTCTTTTTTGAACTCTCCTGCACACTGCTGAATTAATCTTAAAAGCATGCATGATCAGGTTACTACTCCCTTGCTTGAGGGTTTTCTCTTTCTGTTAAGATAAAACTTCCTTTTTTTTTTTTTTTTTTTTTTTTTTTGACTGAGACAGAGTCTTGCTCAGTCACCCAGGCTGGAGTGCAGTGGTATGACCTTGTTTCACTGCAACCTACCTCCTGGGTTCAAGCAATTCTTGTGCCTCATCCTCCCGAGTAGCTGGAACTACAGTAGGCGTGCACCACCACACCTGGCTAATTTTTGTATTTTTAGTAGAGGCAGGGTTTCACCAAGTTGTCCAAACTGGTCTCCAACTCCTGACCTCAAGTGATCTGTCCAGTTCAGCCTCCCAAAATGCTGGGATTACAGGCGTGAGCCGCCATGCCTGGCCTGTTAAGATAAAACGTCTAAATTGAGTTTTCTTCCTTCTTGCTTGAGTTAACCAGTCCAGATTCACATATCATGACTGAAACTTCTTATCCAGCCAAATGCATCCCTTTCCCACCTTGCATACTTTCTAAGCACACACTTCCCCCCCGCCACCCGCAAAACAGACACTTTTATGCTGTTTTTTACCATGCTCAATGTTTTGGTTTTTTTTTTTTTCTTCCCTTCTTCCACACCTAGCCTCTTCCTCTTTCTGGCTACATATCTGAATCTGTCCTCATCTTTCAGACCTCAGTTTAAATTCCCCTTCTTAACCCAAGTTCTCAGTGACTGACTACAGCCCAAACAGATCAGTCATTTACTGAATTCCCCCTAGCTCTCATTTATTGTTTTTAATGGTTCCTTACATAATTCATGTATGTCCCTCACTCACACTTCTATTCTCTTAAGTAACTGTTTATTTTTTATTACTTTTCACATTTTCTTATACCTACTTCCTCGAACAAGATTATAAAGAACCTTGAAGAAGGCAGAAAGGAGAAAGAAAAATACTTATCTAGAGCATACTATGTGTTATACTATCCCAGCTTTGCATACTTTATTTCACTGAATCTTTACTTTATGAGGAAGGTAAGGGGGTCTTTTATTTACAGATAAAGAGACAGCGTCAAATGAGTTAAATGGTTTGCCTGATGTTTTACCACTCTAAGTGACAGATTGGGAGTTTGTACCCAGGGCCACCTGATTCCAAAGCCTACGTTCTTCTTACTACCCTTTATTGCCTCATGTTTTTATGTTTTGATTTCTTTGTAGTATAATGCCTTATATATCAGGAGTACAGTAAACATTTAACCTGTATTGGGCTTCTTGATTCCTTTCCATTTTACTTTTTGCTTTTTACTAGTACTACCAGAATATAAGCAGAGGCAGTGATATAAATTAATAAATTCTGCTTTTTATCCATTTTGCAAAAGATTTAAAAGGGAAAATGTGAACACTTTTGGCATAGATATAGGGATTTGAATCATCTTTAGATGGTCATCATCCATGCAGTTCCTACCCATTATTCTTATAGATTACAGAAAAAAAGGGAGGGGGCTTCTTTAAACAATGGAAAAAATTCTTATTCTTCAGAATTTCATTTTTAAAATGTGTTTTAATGCTATCCAAAGCATCAGAAAATACAAGCCATGAATTGTCTTTAGCCAAAAATGTTTCCTCTTTTGTAACTTTGCTTAAAATAAGGAAACCATACGGTTCCTCTTTTCAGTTAGCTGAAAAAGGAATTAGAGAAGGAAAGAGCCCAAACAGGAACTTAATTATAAATCCACGTTAGTTTGTAAGATCAATTTTGATAGGCTCCTGTCCTCTAATGTCAGTAGTAAGCTGGTGGAACCCTCCATGTATGAGATTTTCACTTGTCAGTTAATGGTTATGGCAATATTAAAACCAAATTCCGTTTTTCACCTATCCTAACACTTTCTACCACTCTTCAGTTAGCTTTTTATCCTCCTAGGATCTGCGACATCAGAATACTAGAAACTGTATTAGAATTCTATGATGGCAATTCAGCACAGTCCAGAGAAGCAGGAGAAAGATTTAAAAGAAGAAGAAATAGGGAATATAGTAGTGGAAAAAACTGACTTTTTTCCCAGAGGTAATGAGGTCAGTGTGTGGAAGGTTATTTAGCATACACATTTTAAAATATGTAAGTGGTGTGTACCTGAAGTACCAACATTTTTCTGTAGGGAAAGAACAATATTGGGCAGGGGAATAAAAAGGAGGAGAAGATTTAGAATAAGATAAAAGGCAATGCAAAGAAATATGAATAACACAAAAGAGAAAAAAAAAACTCTAGGAAGCAGCAAACAGAAAAGAGGAAGGTCAATTGACTAGAGAAGATACAGAAAAGAAGAAAAGTTAATAAACAGCTGAAAAAAAAGCAGTGGTCATATAATTAGCAAGAAGGCAGTGTAGATGATTGAAGCAGGCAAAATGAAGAAGTTGGGGGTGGGGGCAGATGATTGAAGTAGATGAAAGAAGCAACGGCAAAATGCTGCCCTGTCGTGGCTGGCCTGTGTGTGTGAGTGCAGGGAGCCGGTAAAGAGGAGCTTGCTTTCTAAAATGGAGGACCAGAATGAACCATCCGTTCAAATTCATTTACCTTTCATTTCAGGCTCTCCTGTCTGCTGTGAATATCCTTACCATCCTCTCCCCCACCGTTTTTTCCTGACACTATCCAGAAGCATACCTAGCAATTACTCCAAAGAACCCGTGTACCTGTGTATATTTTATATAGAGTTTTTCTAGAAATCCCTTAGTCTGCTGCTCAAGCAAATACCAAATTTGTCAGCCCTCATATGCCAGTATTTTACTCATTATTATAGGCTGGCACTTTGATGAGGTTTAAATCTGTGATTTTGGTTCTTTTTCTTTGCTGAATATTTAGAGTATTTTAAAAAGAAAAACATAAGTGTAACTAAACATTTTAAAGACAGTTACAGTGAAGCAAGAGTCCCCATGTATAAGACATGTCCTTTTTTTTTTTTTTTTTTCTTTCTTTCTTTCGGAGACAGGGTCTAGCTCTGTCACCCAGGCTGCAGTGCAGTGGTGCAATCTCAGCTCAATGCAACCTCCAGCTCCTGGGCTCAAGCGATCCTCACACCTCAGCCTCCCTAGAGAAGCTAGAACTGCAGGTGCGTGCCACCATGCCCAACTAATTTTTGTGTTTTTTGTAGACGTGGGGTTTCACCATGTCACCCAGGCTGGTCTTGAACTCCTGGACTCAAGTGAACTGCCCACCTTGGCCTCCCAAAGTGCTGGGATTACAGGCATGAGCTACCAAGCCAGGCCATAGACTTGTTCTTATAAATATAGTGCATAAGTACTTAAAGGGTCCAGCATTTAAAACTGATGCTGTTAAGTTGCAGATGATAGGAAGTATGCCATTGTCTTTTAAAGAGAATCAAGATTTGGAGAGTATGTCCTAGACAAAGGCAAGTATAGATAGCTGTATCAATTACTTTGATATAATAAAAGTTGTGATGCAAACATAATAGATTAAAATTTAGCAGTAGTATTATCTCTGACTAGTGAAGTTTTGAAACGATAAAGGAAAAAACCAGCCATTCTGCATCTTGAGGAAGAGTGGAAAGAAAAATTGACCTTCACCTACAGTAGGAAGTATTTGATGACCATCTTGTATCGTGATAGTGACCATTTACTGAGCACCCACCAAAGGTTAAGCAGTATCCTATTTTAATTAGCTAGGTGGTGGTTTTTTCATCCTACAGATAAGGAAACTGAGACACCAAGATGTTGGGTAACTTGGCAGTATCACAGCTCTAAGTAGTGGCACTAATACAAAAATCATGCTAATCTTGTGCCAGAATCCTTTCTTTCTATCACATTTCACTATGTGTGCTATACTGTCTTTCATAGAAAAGTTATGAAATAGAAATGCTTTATGAAGGAAGGAGATATGAGTTGGCGGGAATTATATGTAAAGTAATTAAAGTAAGTTTACTGAAAAAATTTTTTTCTCCTTTTTTTAGTTTATTGAAAATTTTATGGTGATTTTTTTTAAAGCTTGGACGTCGAAAGGCATCAGATTTATGTTTTGCAATTCAAACTTAATCAGAATTAAAGTTCCCTTCTAAATGGAATTATGTAGGAATTAGCTGGAAAACACAGGCACTACTAGTAAACTTTAGTTTTGGGAATAACCCTTTAAAAACATGTATGGGGCCAGACGCAGTGTTTCCTGCCTGTAATCCCAGCACTTTGGGAGGCCGAGGCGGGCCGATCACTTGAGGTCAGGAGTTTAAGACCAGCCTGACCAATATGGTGAAACCCTGTTTCTACTAAAAATACAAAAATACAGGCATGGTGGCAGGTGCCTGTAATCCCAGCTACTCGGGAGGCTGAGGCAGGAGAATCTCTTGACCCTGGGAGGCAGAGGTTGCAGTAAGCCAAGATCATGCCACTGCACTCCAGCCTGGGTGACAGAGGGAGACTCCGTCTCAAAACAAAACAAAACAGCAACAAAAAAACAAATGTATGGGATTCTGTGATGACAAAAACACACCATAAGTATTCATGGGAAATTTTTTAGTTTAATTTTATGAAATATGATAGTGAAAAAAATTTAATAAGATTTTATGACTTAATATGCATAATGAAATAAACTAAATATTAGAAGCAGAAAAATACATAGACAAGCCTAATCTGAAAAAGAGATAAATATCTTTATTTTCTGACTTCCACAATAATTACTTAGAAGAAATCCTTCTAAGAGAAAGTCATGAGTATTTATTAAGTGTTGAAATGGGATATCACTCACTATGAACATACTATTCCCTGAAATTACAAGTGTGTGTAAAATACTCTTTGCAGTTTTTATTTGCCCATTTTACCCACAGCAAGCATCTTTTGTGCATATTAACAATTTTCTATTGTTTATTCTTTGGGTTTCTTCTATCTTATACTATGTTCTAAAGTCTCATAATATGACATAAACACGTAGGTGATATTAATATATGCGTGCATGTTTGACTATTGACTAACACTTTTGGCTTAGTAAGCTTTCAAAATGAGCCATAATGTTTTCATGTCATCATTATTAAGTATAAAAATCTATATGTAAAAAATAAAGCATGTATAATAATAATGAAGCACATATAATAATAGTAATAATATTAATCATATACCACATCTGATTTCTTTTTCTTTCTAAACTGAGTGAAGGTGACCATTCTTACTATGTAAACTAAAGGGGATACAAAAATTTTAATTTATGGATTATATTGTGTACAGGAAAATTTTATTAAAAGTACATTAGAACTTTTAACAATTAATATTTTGGAGGTTATAAATTCAGTCATAGCCCATGGAATCTAGTTCTATTTCTAACCCTTACCTTTATCTGCCATGACCATAGTTTATTTTTAATTATAAAACTAAGGTTAACAAATATGATTGTGGCTGGGAGCAGTGGCTCACTCCTGTCATCCCAGCACTTTGGGAGCCAAGGTGAGCGGATTACCCGAGGTCAGGAGTAGGAGACCAGCCTGGGCAACATAGTGAAACCCCATCTCTACTAAAAATACAAAAAAATTAACCAGGCGTGGTGGTGGGTGCCTGTAATCCGAGCTACTTGAGAGGCTGAAGCAGGAGAATTGCTTGAACCCAGGAAGTGGAGGTTGCAGTGAGCTGAGATCATGCCACTGTACTCCAGCCTGGGAGACAGAGTAAGACTCCGTTTCAATATATGTCTGTGTTTGTGTGTGTGTGTGTGTGTGTGAGAGATATTAAATAAACTTAAAAGGTCTTATACAAACCTAGGTGAAAATGTTTTTCTGAGGCAAGCTGAACACTGAGTATTTTTTAATTCTATGCAACAAAACCACAAAAACCTGCTATAGACATCTTTAGACTATCAGAGTTTAAGTTTAAAACACTAATGACAGTTTTTAAAATTTTATATAAAGCAAGATCAAACCAAATTGTGTGAAAATTTTCTTACCTCAGCTGTTAACTTCTTTTGCAGAATGCTAAATTCTTGTTCTAACTGCACATTTTGGTGATTTGGCTAAGAAAGGAAAATGGGTGGTTCAATTCAGATTTAAAATGTTCCTCTAGCAAACTGAAATAGCTTCTGTAGAAAAAGAGGAAGTTTATCAATAGCTGGTTCCGGAAGTGCAATAAACCACAAAGTGACTAAGAAATATATTACTTTAACAGAATTTATTTTGAAATACATTTTGGAGCCCTATGATTTGAGTGCTTTTAATTAATATATGTAAATAAATATTTGAGATGCTCTAGTAATATGATTATATAAATTAAATATTTAGGATGGGGTACTGAAGAGAAAATTACATGTTCTAAGAAGAAAAGCTGCCAGTTGGGTTATAGTGAGATATCTTCTCATAAGAAATGAGTGATGTGTTCTGTTTACTTGTATGACCTTAGGCAAGACTCTGCACTTCTGAGTCACCATTTCTTCTTCTAAAGGAATATTTTATTGGGTTATTGTGAGGATTAAATAAGATAGCATAATATAACATGTATAAATGCCTCACCCACTGTAGGTAACCACTAAATGTAATGTTATTTCCTCATAGTGTAAAAAGTCCAGGGTAAAAGTATAATTACATTATTTTGCAAATGACAGGATTTCATTCTTTTTTATGGCTGAATAATACTCCATTGTGTATATGTACCATATTTTCTTTATCCACTCATCTCTTTATGGACACTTAGGTTGCCTCTAAATCTTGGCTGTTGTGAATAGTGTTACAACAAATATGGGAGTGCAGGTATCTCTTTGTACTGTTTTCCTTTCTTTTGGGTATATACTAGCAGTGGGATTGCTGGATCATATGGTAGCTCTATTTTTAGTTTTTTGAGGAACCACCAAATTGTTCTCCATAGTGGTTGTACTAATTTACATTCCCACCAACAGTGTACGAGAGTTCCGTTTTCTCTACATCCTTGTCAGCACTTGTTATTGCCTGTCTTTTGGGTTAAGCCATTTTAACTGGGGTGAGATGATGTCTCTTGTAGTTTTGATTTGCATTTCTCTCATCAGTGATGTTGAGTACCTTTTCATATGCCTGTTTGCCATTTGTATATCTGTAATTAAATTATTTTGACCAAATATTTTACTAATGACTTTTGAGTTCAAGTTCACAACCATTTATTGGGTTGCCCACACAGTAGTTACTTCTCAGTGGAAAATAAAATAAATTGGGGATCATTTTTTAAATAAGAATTTAACTAAAGTTAACTTGTTACTAAAGGGTAGTGAGGAGATGGGGAGATGGTGTTACCAGTTAATGGGTACAAAAAACAATAGAAAGAATGAATAAGACCTATTTGATAGCACAACAGGGTGACTATCATGAATAATTATACATTTTTAAATAACTAAAAGTGTAATTGGAACCTTTGTAACACAAACGATAAGTGCTTGAGGGGATGGGTACCCCATTCTCCATGATGTGATTATTTCACATTACATGACTGTATCAAAACATCTCATTACCCTTTAAATATATACACCTACTATGTACCCACAAAAATTTAAAATACAAAAAATTTTAAAGTTAACTAAACAAAGTATATTGAAAAGAGTGAGTCTATCTGAATAAAAATTTCTTTGGGTAAGTCACCTTTCCTCTCTTGAGAAATGGAGATCATAATTCATAATTTATAAGCTTATGGTGGAATTAAATAAATGTAATGTGCCTTGCATGGTGCATATTATAGTAGATATGGAATGTGTTAACCCATGCACTGCTTTTTCCTGGTCACTGCAGGAAACACAGGTTATTATGACCTGGTTCTTAACTTCAAGGTATTTACAGCTTGGTGCAAAAAGAATAGATTTTTTTTTTTTTTAACGGGCTCCTACTATAAAGCATAATATACTCAAATGCTATATAAAGCTTTTGATTCACTGATTTTTGGAAGTTTTGTTGTTTTTAGAGACAGGGTATTGCTGTGTTGCCCCGGCTGGTCTCGAACTCCTGACTTCAAGCAATCCTCCTGCCTCAGCCTCTTGAGTAGCTGGGACTACAGGCACATGCTACTATGCTGGCTGGCTGACTTATTTGTTTATTGTAAAGATGAGACTCTTGCTTTGTTGTGCAGGCTGGCCTTGAACTCCTGGCCTCCAGTGATCCTCCCACCTTGGCCTCTGAAGTGTTAGGATTATAGGTGTAAGCCACTGTGCCTGACCTGATTCACTATCTTTAAATCTCTGAATTAAGCTGGTGAACTGTAATACCCAGGGATAGGGAGTGTGTTTTTGTTCAAAACTAAATGTCTTTTAAATTTTGAACTCAAAGGTATCTTACCCACCGTTTTTAAATACCTGTCATTTGGAAAGGAACCACTTCTGTTTGTTCAGTAACTATCATTGGATAGTATCATTCTGAGAGTATATGTTTAGTAGCCAAGATAGTAAGTGGTGAATTTTAAATATTCTTTTAAATATCCCTGTGGTAGAAGCTGTCTGGTGAGAAAATGTTTGACTAGTATGTTGAATATGAAAGTAATTTCCTAGTTTTATAATGATACTAATTTATTTTAATTTTCTCTGCCAAGTATTTATTTAACGACCCTTGATTCAAGGAGTGCTTTGTGTTATTACTGGATGTGTTGGTGCACAATCTCAAATTTTCAATTTTTGCACAGAATGGAAAGTCTGTCCAGTTTCATTTCTAATCTGGGTCATTTTTCCATTCAAAAGATAACCTGATTTCAGTCACCATGACTGGCATGAATATTCTTATGCTTTCTTTTTTACTTTGTTGACACTTAACTTTGTCTGGAATAATATTTTTATGATTTCTTGTTTAGAGAATAGATTTGGTTTTTACAAATTGCTAATAAATTGATGATAAAAATGATGCTTTTTTTTCCTCTCATTTTAATAATACCTAGACATTTAAATTTGATGACCAAGAGCAGCTATCACCTTGAGAGTTATGTAAAAATTACCAATGCCTAGAGTTCACCCCATTCCAGTTGCATCAGAAGGAAGACATAGGGATTAAGCATTGGTGTTTTTAAAAAACTTTTCAGGTGATTCTGACATGCAGCCAGGGTAAGAATCACTAGCTTAGAAGGGAGAGTAAGGTTGTAGTCATACTTGGGAAAAAATGTATAAAAAATATTTTTAAAAATGGTTAGTATATTGGCCAAAATAAATGCCCAATAAGGGATGAGTTTTTTGAAATGTGCCCTGATCTTAGCCCTGTGTTAATTTCAGTAGATATTTGGAAAGTCTGTCAAACCAATTTTTGTAATATATTTAATTGAAGATGGGGGGGTCTCAACTTAAATGTAAGTCATTATTTTACTTGAAGCCAGTTTATTGAAAGGTTAAATAATAACCTGAAGTATCCAGTTTTCCAAATTTGAACGTACACACACACACACACACACAGACACACACGCACCCCCCAAATCAATCATTAGGCTACTTGGCATCCTTGAAGTCCAAATAGTAATCAACCCTTGAGTACTTGTTGTTAATGTTCCAGTAAGTAGTATTTATAGAAAAGATGAATATTATTAATCTTAAACAGTAAAACATACTTTACATTTATACTTAGCCTGTTGGTGTGGCTATAAATCTTATTTATTTTAGTCGTGCTCTGTTTCTTACTGATCTTTACAACGTGTTCTCTAAAGTAATAAAGTGAATGGAAATATACATAGTCACAGGTTTATTCTGAGTTTTAATTTATTATACAAAATTAAAGATTTTAATTTAATATTAATAGTAGAAAAACACTTTCTTACGTGTGCCATATGAAAGATAAAAGCATCTAGGCTAAAATTAGCTGTGTTGATTGATAAGCTGGTGTGGATTCTGCCACATCCAGCAAAGAAGGTACCATTAAATTGCACAGTTTAGCTCTAGCTTTGCATTAGGAATTTGACTTCCATTTGATGTTAAAGCATATACTTGGCTTTAAGGACACTAAAACTCTTCAAAGTTTAATTACATTCAGACAAAGGTCATCTAACCACTATTGCTACATAGGGAATATTTATTCAGTTATCCCTTTCTATCTCTGTTAATCAGTTTCCTCAATTTATCCTTAAAACTTTCCTCAAATGCTTAGTTATTTTATTATTTGCTGTTTAAAATATTCAGTGTCAAAACAAAAGTACACAGTTTAAGTAATTAAGCAGGCATACTTCTTTCCGTCTCACCCACTTGATTCTAAATTACAAGGTCTACCATGTCAAATTTTAGATCATCAGAACAACACTTTGGGATTAAATACCAACTGACTTCATTTTTACTCCATAACCCTTCTCATTGCTACTTTGCATTTTTCTTCACTAACCCATCTGTTCGTTAGTAAGTTTTTCAGTTCCTTCTTCATCTTTTCTTTCTCTTGTAGCTGTGAGCACTCCAGTAGATTGCATCACTAGGTTGGGTCCTGTGAGCTGTTTTGTTCTTTTCCAAGTGTCTGATTCAGCGGGCCATAGACCGCTTGCCAGAAAATCACCATTGCTTCTAGGCTGACGCTTGCCTGCTTGTTTTGATCGTCTGAGAGATGAGACTTTGTTTGCCAAAACCACAGTTGATAGAAATAGAAAGGTACAGATAAGAAAAAGCACTGCAATTATAATTAAGCAAATTAGCATAGCCATGTTGTTGTTGTTTTCCGCACAGACATCCTTTTTGAAAATTTCACCATGACTTTTACTTGTGCTTTCAATGCTCTGTACTGTTGAAGGACTGTTGCTGACGACGGAAGGTATATAAAGCTCCTGTTCAGGTTTAGAAGTTAAAGATACGATGTGAGATGTTTCAGGCATGTTTGTAGAATTACCTTTATAATCTGCTTCAGGAGTTATAGGGTTTGTGTTAATGTTTTCATTTTGGCTTCTGCCTGTCTTATTTTGAATAACTGAATCCCAGGAAGTAGTACTGTTAGCCCACAGATGGGTATAGTTTGCTTTTGTTCCAGAAGACAAAGAAAAAACTGTTGTCATCAGAAAGGCAAGATGTAGGTAATGTCCTGTGTGTTCCATGTCCATGGGCATACTGGTAATCTGTTGGGATAGCAATATAATTTGTTAGTTTGTGAAAGAATAATGGATCCTAGTTTTGGTAACTGTAGTTAAAA